ATTAGTATAGTTTCTCATCAGTATATTTCGATTGGTGTTACTAGAAGCAAATACTACTGAAACAAGAAAAACAGCAATAAGGCAGTCAAAATCACAAAAAAACTTCCGGTCGATTTTTCTCGCATTTCCGATGGGAAATGCACGTAGTGCATTTATCGGTACCTCGAGACTACTGTCAAACACAAACCGACGAAATACATCCAATAAGAATGTCGTACAAATTGGATTTGCGCAAGTCTGTCTCAAACTGTTTTGGACAGCTAAGTTCTAAGTAATTTCTGCATGTATCTAAAGATGACCCAATCTGTCTTCGAACCATGTATCGTGTTTTATGGACTTAGTATGAAGATGAGGATTCTAGAGAATGCAAAAAGTACGGTCGTATTCCCAATTTAAATGCTCAAACCCTTCAAAATTGTCATCAAGTACTGAAAACCGCGTTGGTCAAGAAAAAATTCATTTTTGGTGATTCTTATGGTTACAGCACATCCAAATTTGAACTAAAACAAAATAAGTTACGAAAAAATATCAAAAGGTGTCAAAAATTGGCTGTTCACTTCGCCTTATAGCATGTTGCATTGAAAAATTCATCATTTTGGACGGTGAAACATTCATCTCCAAATTGAGCCACGAATCAAATGCAAGTGGTTTCTTTTGCATTGATTATGTTAGGGCACTACTATATAAGGCTAGAGACGTCGACAAACTGAACTTTGATAAAGGGTGTTTGTATGGTAGGATATTCTTTGGAAGGTGTTTTAGAGCCATTATTCGAAAATTTAATGCTGTAACGTAAGGTTAAACCTCCATTACTTGCTCCATTATCAACCAATTATTGTTGAAATCGATAGAATTCATTGAGAACTATCTGATTAAAGACAAAATTTTGGTTTGCAAGCAGAAAAAACCACAATAACTTCTTAAAAATTAGCATTTCCGTGAAAAAAGGACCATCTGTTTATCTTCACAAAAAGACACCAAATTAATTATTTTTAGTCTGTTTTTGGATGTATGTTATAGGCGAAGGTCCAAAATACTTGAAACGAGCAACAACTGGTTGGATGGATTGAGAGAAAATTGAAAGAAATCGACAAATCGGTTGTCCAGAGCATGATTTTGAAGGTTAGATACAAACTTCTAAAATCGAAGACAATGGTCCATTCAGTGTACTGTAAATGTGTTTTTGGATAGTTTATGAATAAAGCAAAGTACCAATAAGAGAAATTTTTAAATCGCTTGTTTGGTGTTAAAGTAGCGTAGGCTTGAATTTGTGCCATGTATGTTATACTTATTAGTGCAAAAAAGTAATAAGTAATAATATAGTTTGATCTTATTAGAATGATAAGATAATAAGATGAATAACAAGATACCGAAAATGCCAAACTGTACCACCTATGCAAAACAAAAAATAAATACAGATGCATATTTAAATCACCATTCACATGAGTTTAAGAATCAAATTCAGCTGCGCAGTTATTACAATTCAGTCGTATCAGCTTCCAGAATTTTCATGCAACACCTTCATAACTGTAATTGAATTTCTGATGATATTGTTTCTCGCAAGATTTCAAAAATCTTCTCGGTGCTATTTTCTAGTGTATTTCCGTAGAAAGAATCCGCGCTGCCCCAAAACTTCACTTCAATGCACAATTCATAGAAATATTGGGTGCTTAGAAATCGGGCACAATGGTCTTTTTTTATGCTGTCAACACTCGATTTTGGTTCGCCTCTTTTGAAAGTGAATAAGAATTTCTATAGAAGTTCTTGGCCAGTTAGTTTTCTACCGCAACAGCAGTCGGGCAACGAGAGTGTGAGCCAAAAACTGAAGCAAACAAAATACAAATAAATTGTATCGTTTTAAGAATAGAAACCAAAATTGCAAGTGCATGCCGCTTGAAAGAATGGCGAAAGCGTGCATGAATATACACAAAGAATGGATTTAATCGAAAAATATGAAAAACACTTACAATGTGCACTGCAACATGCACTGCAATGCAGTTCATTTTTTGTGTATGTGTAAGTGTGCAGTTTTTTCGTTTCTATTCGCTTTATTTATTGCATTAAAATTATTATATTGGTAAACGCTTCTGTCACTGAGCGATAAATTTTTTTAATGTTGCTGAAACCACAAGCGGCTGTTGTTCAAAAAATTGATTAAAACTAAAACACCCATCGCATTTCGATTCTATGTACAAAAAGGTTGCCGTTTCATTAAAATCACATTTTAGTCGAAACCCCATTTTCGTCTAGTTGACAATAAATGTATAAATAGCAGTTTTGCCCAACAATTATTCCATATACATCCGCATATTTTGCTGCGAATATATTGTGTGCAGTGAGCGTGTACCATAATTCGTTGTAATGTGCATTATTCTACGTTGCAGTTAATGAATCTCTTCGATTCGCATAACCATAACTATTTTACATTAATCTGCATGTGTCGTTCACGCGTTCGTGTCGATTTACTTTGCAAATATTACACTGTAGCTCTCTTGCCGCTGTCGTTGTTTCAATCAAACACTCTATTTGTTAGCTAAATTGCGGAAAATTGTCAACTTTAAATCACGTTAGAGAATTTAATTTTGTGCTCATGAATGCATAACGATATTTTAAGCTGAATTGTTCGTTTGCAACTGTAAAGTTTGATGACCTGAAGCATCAACTAAACATAAATGCTACATTTATTGGCTCTGTGACAACTCACGGGTGATTTTGAGCTAGGGGGTCATTACACCCATAAATAATTTGTACTCATTTTGTTCTAATTTGTACTAACATTTTTAGAATTTGTACTAAACTGGAAGTATATGTTTTACTACAACTTTTTTTTAGTACACATCGGATCGAAAAACCAAATATACCAATAATTTGTACTCAATGTGTACTTTCCAAATGCAAAAAAAATATTTTTTTGTACACTTTTTAGAACTTTGATTACATATTCAGAATCTGCATAATTTGTATCTATATGTATAAATATAATCTTGAAATTATTTCATCGACTGTACTGAAATTACAAGTGTTTTTTTAGTACAGAAATTTTAGTTTTCAGAATCAAAAACGAAATATACCAAAAATTTGTACTCAATTTGTACTTCCTAAATGCTTCAATTAATTAAGAATTAAATCAAACTGGTGCAAATTGAAGTTTACTCCTGAAACGCATCTAATGCATTAGATGCGTTTCAGGAGTAAAATTCAATAAATATATCAAATATGCCCAAATTGTTTAAATAGTGAAAACTAACAGCTGCTAACATCGAAATTTAACATTAAAGGAGATATTATAGCACTGTTTATTTTAATTCTCCAAAAAATGGATTTGATTCCAAGCATTTTGAAATTTGATTTTCAATTTTAACACAAGCATTTTGTAATAAGCCAACAGCTTGTAAGATTTCATAGCTAATTGGCTTTTCACAATTTTTAATTTGTATTTTGGCCTCACGCATTTTAAATAATCGTTTTTTCAATTTTGGTTTCTCATAAAAATTTTTTAAACAGTCCGGTATCACACTTTTTCTATGTTGTTTCTGTCAATGCACGTAATAGTTCTCTTTGTTTGTAAATTTTGACTCACAACTTTTTGCACAACATTTATATTTTTTGACTTTATCCGCGTCGTTCATGGCGATCTAGATTATTTTTATTTTTATTAATAAATATGCCACAGAAGCAACATAAAAATAAATTTTCTGTGCGTTCGTCGGTTTGTTTACGCATTTTGTATCGAAATGACATTGAAATATCAGCTGTCACATGCTTCTCAGATGGCGCTGGCAACGTTTTGCAGAAAAGTCATATTTTTGACAATTGCTATCGGGGGATGAAGGGCACACTATATAAACGCCATCTATTAATAACCGACTAACTACAATGTAAATCAAACGTATCTGTTTCCCCTTTTTATTCACTCCCTTCCCCTCTCGCTATACTTTTACATTGTAGTTAGTCTGTTTTACAAAGATGCCGTTTCTGTGTAAGATGTGTGACGTCACAATGTATTTGGATGGATAGCGCTCGACTCTCGACATTAAATATCACTTTTGGAGGAAAAATTGAAATGTTTTCCATGGATGGCCATGGGCATCACACCAGATATGACACTTCACTGTATCAACCAAAGTCGCTCAAAATCTAATGGTTTCTATTCCTCGGTACCTCCAATCATCCTGTGAAGTCAGATTTTGAATTACTTTTCTTGTTTGAAAGTTATCGTGTTAACAAATTTTTGCGTACAGGGTACAGCGTACAGCGTACAGGGTACAGGGTACGCACATACATTCGGACATCGAAAAAACGCTAGAGAACGCCCCAAAAACACCCAGAAAACACATTTTTGATGGGTGTTAATTTTTCGACCGATTCCAATACTTTACCTTACACACTGGGTAAACATATATATTAGAATGAATAAATCAGATTGAATAATTCCAAAATCTAAGTTAATCGCATCGTCGTTGTGTATGTACATGCTTTCATACGCATCCAGTTTGCACTCATCATTTACTCGTTTCATTATTTTCACGTAGCTTTTTCATTTCATTAATTTGTTAAATTCATTGAGTTTACTTTTATTTCTAGGTGAAATTGATCAAACCAAGGAGCTCTTGGAAAAAGGGGCAAGTTTTAATGCAGAAGATAAAGATAAAGAAACACCACTCCATGTAGCTGCATCATTTGGTAATATTGCAAACTATCGATTCGAACTATGAATTCCTTTAAATGTTTGATAATTTGCATTCCAGGCCGGAAGGATGTGGCCGAAGTTCTCATCAGTCATGGGGCTAGTGTTAATGCAGAAGATAAAGATAAACGAACGCCACTACATGAAGCTGCACTATGGGGTAATATTGCGAACTATCGACTCGAACTATCGACTCGAACTATGAATTCCTTTTAATGTTTGATAATTTGCATTCCAGGCCGGAAGGATGTGGCCGAACTTCTCATCAATCATGGGGCTCGTGTTAATGCAGAAAATAAAGATAAACGAATGCCACTACATGAAGCTGCCAGCCGGGGTAATATTGCAAACTATCGATTCAAAATATGAATTCTTTTTAACGTTTGATAATTTGCATTCCAGGTTATAAGGATTTGGTCGAACTTCTCGTCAATCATGGGGCTAGTGTTAATGCAGAAGATAAATATAAACGAACGCCACTACATAATGCTGCCAGCGGAGGTAATATTGCAAACTATCGGCGCGAACTATGAATTCTTTTCAATGTTTGATTCTTTGGTTTGCAGGTTGGAAGGAGTCGGCCAAATTTCTCCTCAATCATGGGGCTAGTGTTAATGCAGAAGATGAAGATAAACGAACGCCACTACATGAAGCTGCCAGCCGGGGTAATATTGCAAACTATCGATTCAAAATATGAATTCCTTTTAACGTTTGATAATTTGCATTCCAGGTTATAAGGATTTGGTCGAATTTCTCGTCAATCATGGCGCGAGTGTCAATGCAGAAGATAAAGATAAACGAACGCCACTACATGAAGCTGCCAGCCAGGGTAATATTGCAAACTATCGACTCAAAATATGAATTCTTTTCAATATTTGATAATTTGCATTTCAGGTGAGAAGGATGTGGTCGACCTACTCATCAATCATGGAGCTCGTGTCAATGCAGAAGATGAGAATGGATTGACTTCACTTCACATAGCTGTAGAAATTGGTAATTGACAAACAACAATGATTTTTTTAATGTTCATTTGTTATCAAAATTTTGAGCTTAAATTTCCTTATTCATTAAAACAAATCGAATTTTGAAACAACAAAATCAATTTCATATTAGAAATGGTCAGAATCAATTTTCTAATTTCAAAACAAAATCCAGGTCGAAAGGATATTGCACAGCTTCTCATCGATCATAAAGCCACTGTTGATGCAAGAAGTAAAAACAGCATGACGCCCCTTCACGTAGCTGCAAAATTTGGTAATAGTGCGACATATTGAGTCAATATAAGTCTGCAATCCAATGTTTCTCTGAGTTGCTTTCCAGGTAAAACGGACATTGCCAGATTTCTCCTCAGTCGCGCGGCTTATGTTAAAGCAGTAACTGATGATAAATGGTCAGCGCTCCATCTCGCTGCAGAAAAGGGTAATAGTCCAAGCAATTGAATCTAACTATGAATCTCATTGAATGTTTGATTGACTTTCCAGGTTATAAGGATATGGTTGATCTTCTCATTCA